AGTCTCCCACCATGAGGAGCTGGAGAGAGGAGCTGATGTGGAGTCTCCCGCCATGAGGAGCTGTCATTGGCTGTGCACAGCTAGGGTGCTGGGGATTGCTCACTCAACTCCGAGAAAGAAGTTAATTAGAACAGAACTGTGTGAGGCAAACGGCTTCCGCTCGCCTACGAAACTGAGGAAGCTGATGGTCCGAATCCGCCCAGCATCTCTGTGGAGGAAAGTCCCGATGACCCGCTGCTGTAAATGGTACAGCGCTGGGAGTCAGCATCAAGTCAAGGGCCTGTCTGTGAGGTTTTGCACGGTGGACAGCGAGGGCTAAGGCTGTCTTCTCCTCTGTGCAGAGACCATGGTGAGAAGAGACACAGGAGTGGAGACGAGTCTAGGCTTTCCTGGGAGGTGGCGATAAGGAAGGGGCGGAGTGTGATCCCGTTGCGCTGTCCCTCGGGTTGGAGATGGCCACATCTTCTGCTGGGGAGGCCACAGGCTTCATTCCTGTTGGCATTGTGGGCTGTGGTTCAGATTCAGCTGGGCCCCGGTGGCTCCTTGACTAGGCCTGGTCAGTGATGTTACTGACCTCAGCCCAGACAGGAAACGTGTCCAGGTGGAAGAGGCTAACTCCCCACGTGTTGATGGCCACCGTCACTATTACCAAACCAATGACATTGACCCCCAGGCCAGCTTTCACCTGTGGACACAAACCAGCATACCCTAGTCACTCCGATGACACAGCAGGACAGACCCATGTGACCTTGGGGGCCTCTGGATGTGGGGTTGGGCTTAGTCCCATGACTTTCTCATTGCATCTGGCTATAAGGGGAGGCCCGCATCTGTAACTCGGAGCACAGACAGATGGAATGTTAAAGTGCATTCTGCAGGCTAGTTGTAGGAAAATATGGTAGACGAAACGCACAGGTCTCATGAAAGTAGGGCATCTCAGGGCTAATACAATGAGGGCAGTCAGAAAGCATCTTAAAAAGCAATGATGGCGAGACGGGCTCATGCACTTTGGACATGTCATCAGGAGGGACTAGTCAAAAGGTTGGCAGGTCAAACCCGCCCAGAGGCACCTTGGGAGACAGGCTTCCAAGTCTTGGAAATGACTATGGAGCAGTTTACTCTGCAGGCATGGGGCAGCCATGGGTGGGAATGAACTCAATGGTAATTAATGTCAACAAACCGAAAACTGGTTTCCACCAGCATCGTTCATTCTTCCTGCCACCACAGATGGAGGGTTTTCAGCAAAGGGCTCGGCTTTAGAGGAAGGCTGGACACTGTCCCTGAGCTCAGCCCACGACTCACCATGTCTTTGATCTGGCAGTGCCCATAGCTGAAGACGATGGCATTGGGTGGGTTACCCACAGGCAGCATCACTGCAAAGGAGATGCACATGGTGACCGGGATCAGGGTGTAGAGCGGGTTAATGCGCAGCGTTTCAGACTGCGGGAGAGAACACACAGGTTGTCAGGCTGAGCTCACACTCATGGAGTTCAATCCCTGACCTCATACCACACACCTGCTTCCACGCTGTCCTGACCAGCCTGGCCCCTGTTGGACACTCATGGTGGGGGGCATTAGGGGGAGTGAGCTGAGGCTGTTCCTTCATTTTCAATGGGGCAAGGGTTCTGAGCTAACTCCTAGATGGGGTGTTTCATCTCTGGGTGCTGGTTTATGGAGATAGTTTTCACATTTTATTCACGAGAGGATAAATCCTTTCTTTAAACAAAAATCTTGTGTATCAGCTGATTTGATGAAAGCAGGAAGCCCTTTTTCATGGGAGTGATCTTGGGAAGGTCATCACTTGTGGGACTGGATCCCGTAGACATGCTTACCATCAACAATGACAAGTTTTAATGAGCCCTGAGCAAGAAGTCGGGTGGTCTGGGGAACAGGGAGGCTTTGGGATCAGATGGAGCAGGAGGACAGGATTATGTTGGGTGGGGAGGAACCTTCACTCCTTGCAGAGTGGGGTGAGGTGTATTATTTTGGGGTGGCAGAGCCACCCCAGGACCTGGAAGTCGTTCCTTCTCCTTTGTCGGTATTAACAAATCAGTCTGAGCCTGTGGGACGCAGCTGGCCTTGCTCCTGATTCCCAGAACCCCTTGGGCAGTGAAATTGGGTGACAGCAGTGAGTTATTGTCTGGTTTTTGTGGCGCTTGTGTGTTTCGGGGAGTGTTTTGTCTCCCTTCTCTGAGGTTGCCTCTTTAGCACCCCTGTTGGGTCTTAACTCAGGAGGGAAAGGTGGAGGTTGATTGTGGGGAGTTGGGATCTGGGGACACAAAGTTGTCTTCTCCACACTTTTGTGTTCAGGGGGGCCCTGAGCACCCTTGCTGGGGACAGACTGATTTCAGTGGCCCAGGATCGGGCAGTGTTTTGTTCTGCTGTGCATAAGGTCGCTATGAGTCGGTACCAACTTGATGACACCTAACAACAACAATCCTCATCCTTAGGAAAAGTGTCCAGAACACTTTTGAGTTAATTTCTTAAGTGCTATTTGAAAAGCATCCTTTTCTAAGCTGTGGTTTGAACACCAATCGTGAAGGTGGGAGGCAGTGGCCAGAGGAAGAGACGCAGCCAGGGGCGGGGATGGGGAAGGGGATGCCCCTGGGCCAGCCACAGCCCCCTCCACTCACCAGGCTGCACAGGATGGGCAGGAAGATGGTGATGGTGGCCGGGTTGCTCACAAACTCAGTGACAATAGACACCAGGATGCAGGCCAGCAGGCTGACAGCCCACGGAGGGAGGCTGCTCAGGGACAACATCTGGTGTCCGATCCACGTGGAGAGACCCGAGCTCTGTGTGGGGAGAGGGAGCCTGTGATAAAGCTCTCAGACAGGCGGCAGGTGGGGCCATCAGACCGGCTCCCTATCTTTCCTGGCTGACCCTGAGGCCTCCCAGCTCTTATGAAGTCATTCCTGCTGCCCAGAACATTCTTTCCTAGGGTTGTACAACCCTGATCCCTTCAGAACCTCGGCTTATGGGTTGCTGCTCTGTGACTTACTGCCGAGGTCCTTCCTGGGATGTTGGCTGGAGGCCTGACCAGGCCTGGGATCTGTAAGACATCTGCCCTAGGCTCTTACCCAGAATGCCATGTGTCAGTCTCCACTCTGCTTTTGAAATCCATTTTTCTGGGTGGTTTCTGAGGGCCCGAGTGGGGAAAGCTGAACACAGGCAGTTTTACACGAGCCATGAGGGAGCGAGAGATTCCAGCTGTTCAGCCTCTATGTGTTTCAGGTTCAGGTCCCATCATGGCTGACACTGGATCCACCATATGCCAGAGCTTTTGCCAACCCAAACAATGTTTGCTGACTCTCCAAAACATGGAAAGTATGCTGCCATTTCCAAGCTTTTTCCATTACCAACATTCAGACACCTTCACCCAAACCAGTGGCTATTCCTAGGTTGGAACATTTCACTTGGTTGGAAGATGTTCATGTACCAAAGGTGAGACTAGAATCCCTGGATGCCACATGCATTTTCCCTCCCTCCTTCAGTCCTCCCTTCCTTGTCTCCCTTCTGTGACTGACATGCACTGACATTTCCTATGGTAGCCTATACAACAACAAAACCCATGCTTACTGTCATTGAGTTAACTCTGACTCGTAGCACCCCTATGTTTGTATGGTTTCCAAGACATCTTTAGGGGAGCACGGTGGTGGTGGTGTGCCACCAAGTTGGTCCTGGCTCATAGTGACCCTGCATAGGGTTTCTGAGGCTATAAATTTATGGGAGCACAAAGCCTTCTCTCTCTCCTGTGGAGTTACTGGCAGATTCAAAGTGCTGATCTTGCAATGAGCAGCCCAGTTCACAACCCATTATTCTACCAGGGCATCCCTCTGAGAGGCTGGTGGGTTTGAACTACAGACCTTTCAGTTAGCAGTTCAGTTAGCTTATCCTATCCAGGTATTGCTGTTAGATGCCGCTGAGTCGGTTCCAACTCATAGCAACCCAACACACAACAGAACAAAACACTGCCCAGTCCTGCGCCATGCTCACAGCTGCGGTTAAGCTTGGGCTCGCTGCTGCCCAGAATGCCAATCCATCTCATTGAAAGGCTTCCTCTTTTTTGCTGACTCTCCACTCTACCAACCATGATGTCCTTCCCTAGGAACTGGTCCCTCCTGCTACTACAAATTCCATACAGCAATGGAGGAGAGGGGCAGGAAGCAGGGCGAGACATTTGTTTTAGAATTCCTCAAGCTACTCGTTTTTTTTTTTTTTTTACTATTAAAAACAGCTTTACTGCACAATCAGCAGGATGTGTGTTCTTTTTTCCAAATTCATCAGAAGGTCATCTGGGCATCCTAGTCACCTCATGGCAACTCACAGACCACTGATGTCCCAAGTCTCTCAGACTTCTCTCTGTTGGCAACTATGTCACCTGGAAACACCATGTCCTCTGGACATGTCCATGGGCTGACCACGAGCTGCAGAACCAGGAGGCAGGGAATGTGCAGAGCCTTGAGGCCGGTACCATTTCCCTCTTACACCACACGACGAAACCTTGCTCACTGGACAGGCGGGGCAGGCCACCATCCTGCCTCAGCTGCTCCCTTCTCAGAGCTCTGGTAGGCCTTCACCTCTCTGCTTCTCAGCGTCTTGGCCTTCTCTCTCCATCCATCCTAGAAGTGAAGCTGCTAGAAAGATCCAGTCCCCACCAGAACAGAACACAAGCGGTACCTTGCTGCCTGAGGCCAGCGCGTAGCCCCCTCCCACCAGGATGACGATCTCCCAGGGCATGGTCTTCTGAAAGTCCTTCCATGTGATGATGGGTTCCGACCCCAGCGAGGGCTCCTCAGGCTCCCCTGGCCACAGGCAGACAGAGATGCAGAGCAGTGAGGCCATGGGGGCAGGTGGGGTGGGGAGGACACTATCCTTCTACCTGAGCCAGCCCCAGCGTCTCCCCAGAACTGTCCCTCACCCTCATCCTTCTTTCCGAAGCGCGGCTTCTTGGCTGGAATCAGGAAGAGCAGGAAGCCGAGGAAGAGGGACACAGTGGCGTCTGTGCGGTAGCCTTTCCTAGACAAGAGGGAGGGAGGGTCAGGAGCCCGGCCTGGGAGCAGGTGAACACAACTCCTTGTTAAGACCTGGACTAGTGGTGACACTTCCGCGCCCCCAGTGGCCACCATAGTCCCCCACACTGAGAAGAATGGGCAGTGGTTTGTGTCTGGACACAGGGTCTGGCTAATGTGGATCTGTGGTTAACACAGCCTTCGGTATGGACTGCATTTCAATGTAAAGAAAACCAAAATCCTCACCACTGGACCAATAAACAGCATTCTTATCAACAGAGAAAAGATTGAAGTTGTCAAGGACTTCATTCTTCTTGGATCAACTATCAACACTCACGGAAGCAGCAGTCAAGAAATCAGACGACGTACTGCATTAGGCAAATCTGCTGCACAAGACCTTTTTAAAGTGTTGAAGAACAAAGATGTCAGCTTGAGGACTAGAGTGCACCTGACCCAAGCCATGGCATTTTCAATAACCGCACATGGATGCGAAAGCTGGACAGTGAATAAGGAAGACCGTAGAAGAATTGATGCCTTTGAGTTATGGTGTTGGAGGAGAATATTTAAAGTGCCATGGGCTGCCAAAAGGATCAATACGGATCTGTTGGAAGAAGTGTAGCCAGAATGCTCCTTGGAGGCCAACATGGCCAAACTTCGTCTCTCATACTTTGGACATATTGTCAGGAGGAACCAGTCACTGGAGAAGAATATCATGTTTGGTAAGGGTGGAGGGTCAGAGAAAAAGAGGAAGACCCCCAGCGAGATGGATTGACAAAGTGGCAACATCAATGGGCTAAAGTGTGGCAACAATAGTGAGGTTGGCCCAGGACCAGGCAGTGTTTTGTTCTGTTGTACACAAGGTCACTATGAGTTGGTTCCGACTTGATGGCAGTAACAAAAATTGGCCAGCCAATGCTGACTCATGCTGACCTATGCCCAATGGGACTAAATGTTGCCCAGTCCTGCGTCACTCTCAAATCCAATCGTATGCATATCTGACCGTGTGTCCACAGGGTTTTCAATGTCTGATTTTCTGAAGCAGATCACCAGGGCTTTCTTTCTCTCTAGTCTGTCTTAGTCTGTAAGCTCTGATGAAGCCTGTTAAGCTTTCACAGCTACACTCCAGCCTCCACTGATAGACTGGTGTGTTCACTGGGAATCGAACCTGAACCTCGCTCATGAGAGGTGGGAATTCTATACTGAACCATCAATGCACCTGTTTCTCAAAAACTGCCCCCAGCTGACCAAACCCACTGCCGCTGAAATGATTCTAATTCATCGTGACCCCGGGGGATGGCGTGGAACTGCAGGTACATGTCTGAGGCTGTCATCTTTACGGAAGCAGATCACCTCATCTTCCTCCTGAAGAGCTGCAGGTGGGTTTGAGCCACCAGCTTGCAGTGAGCAGCGATGACTTTAATCACCGACAAGTACAGCTTCCCTAGAGGGGACCTCCCTCCTAAATTCAGGTCTACCCCAGGGACACAACAGTGGCCTCAGGAACCTCGGTGAAAGGCTTGTTCTCAATGGAGAGATGACGGCACTTACTTCTCAAAGAAGGAGTCCCAGCCTGGGACAAAGCCAGGCTCCCTGGTGAACCACAGGACAGTCATCAGCACGAAGAAAAACCCAGTCACCATCTCCGGGTAGCTGCCAAACAAAACAGAAAGGTCTCCCCAGGACTGGTACGTCCCTTTTAGCCTTTCCCCTTTGCTTCTGGGTACTCCTGCCATAGGGGGTCCCAGACATGGGAGGCATGGCCCATCATCCCTGCTCCACCACTGTGAGTGGCCGAAATGACCTGAAGGCAGCTCACTGGAGAGGTGTCGGTGTGCGGGGACAGTGACCAGAGTACCAGATACTAACAAGGTCACTGAAAATACGGCCCTGGAGGGGAGAGAGAGGTAGGCTCATTCCCTTCCTCCAAGAACAGAACCTGAGATGCACATGGGTGCCTGACTGATGACAAAGTGAAGCAGCCTAAATCCTCAGTGACATTCCACGACACTGAGTGAGACGAGACGCAGCCAGTCACAGTCATGTCTCCATGAAATCATCCCTTCATATCAATGGAGATGCATCCATTATGACCAATAATAAAGAAGAGTTAAAGGCAGGAAAATCACCGTGAGAAAGGCAATTGGCTCCACTGAGTGGTATCCAATCTGTCTGGGCGGGGTTGATGAAAGGAGATGGGGATAGGTCTCTTGTGATACAATAGTGAATAATTATTATCAGGACTGATTGTGAGGGTTGGAAATGTAAAGGTAGATGTTTTGTAGCAAAAGGAGGGGAGTGATTAACTTTTCAGGCTAGGAGCGGAGGTCCCGGGGACAATCAAGGGATTAAAGCGGAGAGCAGGACCCTACCCAGAGAAGCAGTAGAGATGGAGGCAGAGACGATGACGTGGAGAGATGGAGCAGCTGGGGACTTTAGATCCAGAGAGGGAGAGGGGCTGTGTGCTGATGACCAGGGGGCAGGCTTGCAGGGTATACCCTTTGGTTGATTGATGTTGCATGGAGGGGATTGTAACCAACCATGGCAATGAAACAATATATGATAGGATGAATGTAAAGCTAATGCTCTCCCATGTAAACTATCACATAATTCACAATAAAACATTAAAAAAAAAAAATTCTCAGCAGGCAGTTGAAGTGGAATGAATGGGTTTGAAGCCCTGCTTCTATTATGGAGTAAGCACCCAAATGAAATGGCTTTCTAAAGCAGAAGCCAGTGAACTAGTTCTTAAAAAGCCAGGCAGGAATTACTGTAGCGGAATCTCTGGGTGGTACAAATAGTTAACACACTTGGTTGCTAACCAAAATGTTGGAGGTACAAGTCCACTCATAGGTTCCTTGGAAGAAAGGCTTGGTGACCTACTTTATCAGTCCCTGAACTCTTTGTGAAGCCCAGTTCTACTCCGGCACATTTGGGAATACCATGAGTCGGCATTGATTCTATAGCAACTGTTTTGACTGGTTTACTTAGTTTTCAAGTTTGTAGACCCTTTACTCCCTCACAAGTACTCAATTTCCCCTAACAACAACAACCACAACAGAGTTTTTAATAACTGATGTTTTTTAAAGGCATTTCTTTTGAGGTGTCTCTGGGTGGACTTGAACCTCCAACCTTTGGGGGTAGTGAGTGTGTTAACTGCTTGCACCACCTGGGACCTCCCCCAACTGCTAGAAAAGACGATCTCTCATTGGAGAAATGCTAGGTCATTCGGTTGTGGTTGTTGTTGTTAGGCGCCATCGAGTCAGTACCGACTCACTGGGGAAGCTGAGAAATGGCTGAGGCTGCTAGTAATTTCTTGGACTCTCCCTGTCGGTATTGAATGCTGACGTTGCCCTAAAAATAGCACAAAGTCTTCTTTCTCACTGGGAGTGAGGGTCACGTGAGGACCCACTCTGAGCCATGGAAAGGAATCCGGCATGTCCCAGTCGGTTGCAAAGCTGCCTCTATATACAACACTCCACCCACCCACACCTTGGGCTTGAAACCAGCTTGACTTTGGCATCAGCGGCATCTCCTAAATGCTTGGATTCACGTTGTAGAGAACTCCCCCGCCTGAGAGATGGGTGGGAACAGAGCTGTGTCTGTAGGCCTCGTGCAGGCCCTGGCAGACACCGGCTGAGCGGCGGTTTTACCTGATGTCACCTAGCTTGTCATACTCCTCCTGGATTCTCTTCTCCGACAGCTCTTCCCGTTTGGTCTTCTTCTTCTTGCTGAGAGAGCAGGTCTCTTTAAAACTGCAAAGGGAGAAGAAGCATAGGAATAAAGCGACCAAGCTTCCAAGGCCTGGAGGAAATCCAACAATGAGCAAGCGCTAAACTCCTTGCTGTGATCACCCCATACACCCTGTGTCCCCACCATACACATGCCTTTCAAGGTACACAGCCCCACTTCAGCCTGCTCCCTTGCCTTTGTGTGCGCATCCATCTGGGTAAATCTCCGGTATAATCAGTGTCAATCCTTGGGTGCTGCAAATGGTTAGTACGCGCAGCAAACGTGGGCAATGTGAGCCCACCAAGAAGTGTCTCTGCAGAAAGTCCTGGCAATCCACATCTCAAAAATCATCCATTGAGAACCCCATGGGTGAAAGGAGATGGGGATACGATTTTTATGATTCAATCGTGAGTAAATATTACCATGACTAATTGCAATGGTCACAACTGTAAAAGTAGAAGTTTTGCAACATAACGGGGGGAGGAGTTAATCTTACAGTCCAGGAACAGAGGACCCTAGGACCATCAAGGGAGAAGAACATGAGTGGAATGTGGGACCCTATCCAGAGAAGCAGGGACACCAGAGATGGAGGCAGAGATGAGGACATGGAGAGAGGGAGCAGCTGAGGATTCCAGACTCATGGAAAGAGAAAGGCTGTGTGCTGGCAGCCAGGAGGCAGGCCTGCAGAATGTACCTTTGGGTTGTTTATGTGTACATCCAAAACAAAACAAAACAAAAAACAGCAACAGAGGGTACAGAAGCAAATACTGTTGAATTTGAATGGTGATGCATGGAGGGGATTGTAATTATTGCAATGATATGAAATACAATAGGATGAGTGTAAAACTGATGTTCTCCCATGTAAATGATCACTCAATGCACAATGTTGTTGTTGTTATGTGCCTTACAGTCGGTTCCGACTCATAGCGACCCTGCACAGGGTTTCTGAGGGTGTAAATCTTTACAGGAGCAGAAAGCCTCATCTTTCTCCCGCGGAAGAGCTGGTAGTTTCGAAACTGCTGACCTTGTGGTTCGCAGCCCGATTCGTAACCACTACACTACCAGAGCTCCTTATAAAAGCTTTTTTTTAAAAAAAAGAACGCCCCCCCCCCCCAATGCTACTCCAACATGCATTGATGGCATTGCTGTGAACTGGAGTTGACTAGCTGGCAATCGGTTGGTAATCGGTTGGTTATATCTTAGGGATGTTTGCCAATGTTATTTTTTGCCAATGGTGCTGCTTCTATATACTTGTCTCTGTCTATAATATGAATCAGTGTGGTGTGGTACATGTGTACAGATGTTGATTATGTTTGCGTGTTACACACACACATATAAGGGCATTTCAAAAAGTTTTGGGGCAAATTCCATTATCTTTTGACTCCATTTGTCCATGAACTTTTTGAAGGTCCCTCATACATGTGTGTGTGTGTGTGTGTTTGTCTAGAGACAAGGCTTGTCTGGGGCAAGGGTGGATGTTTGTTTTGTACGAACAGCACGGGAGCTACAGATGTGTATACCCACCATGGATTTGACAAGTCTCCATAAATAAAAGAGCTCACAGAATGTTCCTTGGCCAACAGGAGCATTGAGGTCCATGGATCACTAGCAAAATATACATATGTCCCCTCAAATTTGGAGTAATCTGATGGCTATAAAGAAAAGGCTTATGAAGCAGATAAGAGTTCTGGTGTGGCACTGTAGGATAAAGGAGCTCTGGTAGCATAGTGGCTACGAATCGGGCTGTGAATCGCAAGGTCAGCAGTTTGAAACTACCAGCTGTTCCACGGGAGGAAGATGTGGCTTTCTGCTCCTGTAAAGATTTACAGCCTCGGAAACCCTGTGCAGGGTGGCTCTGAGTTGGAACCGACTCCGCAGCACAAAACCAACAAACTGTAGGATAAGCGCAGGACTGCAAAGTCGGTTTGAACCAGAAGGTCGGTGGTTCAAACTCACCAGTCCTGCCTAGCAAATCCTATCTATACTGGGTTGCTATGAATCGGAACTGACTCAACGGCACTTAACAACAAACAGATGAATACTTCAAGGGAAACTGATATTTCTAGGGGACTGTCTGATGTATTTTGAGAGGTCTGAACCTACACACACCAACTACTAAGTGTAAACCATGTGTATCAATAAAATGAAGCTTAAGGCAACTTCACTTGAAGGGATGTTTTTAGAAGTTAGTTGGAATTGCTCTATGTACTTTGGAAGCCATAACAAGACATTAAACAACCTCCAACTTAGACTTTTTTTTTTTAGAAATCTGAGAGACCCTCTAACCAACGAGTTTACAATTAGGAGCATTTCAGGGTAGAGCTTGTCATGAAGACAGGAGTCCATGGACAGCTAGAGAGACGAGAACAGAGCGTCCGGCCGGCTCCCACCACGGCATGTTCCACAGGCCTCCTCTGTGACTGATATGCAGCGCCCCCTGGAGGAGACTCCTCCCAGCCTGTGAGTCCCTCAGCTGCTTGCTGCCGGGCCCAGGAACTCACTTGCAGCCCAGGAACAGCCAGTGCATCCAGAGCCAGCTGACCACCAGCATGATGAGGGAGATGGGGAAGCTGAAGAGGAACCAGGTGCCGAAGTTGACCACCTCTGCGGCCGGATATTGGCTGGAAGGTAAAGAACCAGGTTAGGTATTCGTAAAGGGTGCGATTCTACATTGCATTTTGGACAGTACACGGTACAGTCCGTCTGTCTCATATACTTACCCAGACATGATAAACATGACCCTGAACTCACCCACTGTTAGGGAGTCTTTCCGACCCTGTATAGAGTTTCTGAGCCTGTCTTTTACAGGAGCAGAAAGCCTCCTCTACAGGTTTAAACTGCCAACCTTCTGTTTAGTAGTCTAGTGCTTACTCTACAGCTTCACCAGGGCTCCAAAGTTCAGCAAAGAATCATGAATTAAGCTTGAAAAAAAACAGGGCACCTAAGCATTGAAAATTTTATTGATAAAGTGTATCCAAGGAGCCTTTGTTGTGCAAACATTAAGACTTTGCTAACTCAAAGGTCGGCAGTTTGAACCCACCCAGAAACTCTGTGGAAGAAATACCTGATGATCTGCTTCCATAAGATCAAACCCACTGAGTGATTAACTTTTCAGTCTAGAAGCGGAGGTCCCTAGGACCATCAAGGGAGAAGAGCAGAGAGCGGGACCCTACCCAGAGAAGCAGTGATGCCCGAGATGGAGGCAGAGACAATGACGTGGAGATGGAGCAGCTGGGGACTTTAGACACAGAGAGGGAGAGGGACTGTGTGCTGATGACCGGGGGGGGCAGGGGCGGGGGGTGTCAGGCTTGTATTGTATACCCTTTGGTTGGTTGGTGATGCATGAAGGGGATTGTAACCATGGTATTGAAACGATATACAATAGGATGAATGTAAAACTAATGTTCTCCCATGTAAACTATCACATAATTCACAATAAAATATTTAAGAAAAAAAAAAAAAAGATCAAACCCACTGCCAACAAGTTGACTCCAATTCACTCTGAGCCCCACAGAGTCGGGCAGAGCTGCCCCATGGGGTTCCCAAGGTTGCCATCTTTCCGGAGGTAGACTGATTCATCTTTCTCCTGCAGAGTGGCTCGTGGGTTTGGACTGCCAACTTTTCTGTTAGCAGTAGAGTGCTTAATCACTGCTCCACCATTGCTCCTCTCTCATAAAGGCTGTTGTTGCTGTTAAGTGCTGTCGAGTCAGTTCTGACTCATAGCGAGTTGGCTCTGATATACAGGGTTTTTGAGGAGCGGCTGGTGAGCTTGAACTGCCGACCCTGTGGTTCAAACCGACCTTGCAGTCCATGGTGCCATAGGTATTGCCAAGTTGGCCCCATTTACAGCAGAATAAAACACTGCTCAGTCCTTACAGTCACAGCTGTGGTTGAGGGTACCATTCTTTTTCTCTGACTCTCTACTTTACCAAGCATGATGTCCTTCTGCAGCAAAGGGTCCTTCCTGATTATGTATCCACAATATGTGAGACAAGGTCTTGCCACACTTGCTTCTAAGGAGCATTATGGTTGTACATTTTCCAAGACAGATTTATTTGTTCTTCTGGCAGTTCATTGCTTTTTGTTTTTAATTTTTCAAATGTTTTTAAAAACTTTTTATTGTGAACTGAGTGAAGGTTTATTACAGCTTTACATTCAACAAATCATACACTGTGTTTCATCTCAGTGATTCCAATCCCCCTCCATGCACCAATAGCTCTCCTGCTCCTCCCTGTGCTTCCTGTTTGCATTCCACCCACCTTCCTATCCCTTCTCAACTTTGTCCTTATGCATACGTTGTCCTTTTGACCATTCCATGGTGCGCACACTTCACTAGTGTCATGCCCCCTATAAACCTATCTACTGTTTGGCTGAAAATTGGGCCACGAGGGTATGTGCTTTTCCAGACCTGAGGGGTGGCTGAGGGTCATAGTCTCAGGCATCCTCCAGTCTCTTTTTGACCAGTAAACTTGGTCTTCTTCTTTGTTTTAAAAAATAAATAATTTTTTGAATTTTGTTCAACTTTTTCTCCCATTCTATCCGAGTCCCTCTAAGATGATCTCTTTCAAACTGTCCTGTTCTGTCTCAGAGCAGTGGAGATTGATGTTCACGTGTTCCTTAGTCCACTGGATTCATTGATTCCCAGGCTCTTCAATTCTTATCACTCTTCTTTCTTCCACACACAGAGAGACCAATGATGGTGGTTATGTGCTGTGGAGTCGGTTCCGACTCATAGAGACCCTGTACAGGGTTTCTGAAGCTGTAAATCTTTACGGGAGCAAAAAGTCTCATCTTCCTCCTGTGAAACGGCTGGTAGTTTCAAACCACTATGGTACCAGAGCTCCTTGAAGAGGCCAACAACTTCACTTTCGATGGTCACTCATGAGCTTTCAAGATCCCAGATGCTACTCACCCAAGTATGACATTGTCTTTGTGAACTATGTTATGCTAATTGACCATGGTGTCCCCTGAGTGGCTGTCCTTTGTAGTTGTCCTTAGGTGTCATTGAGTTAGTTCTGTCTCATAGTGATTCTGTGCACAACATAACAAAACATGCTCAGTTCTGTGCCAGTCTCACAACTGTTGTTACGGCTGCCACTGTACCGACTGATCTTGTCGGAGGTCTTCCTCTTTTTCACGGACTCTCAACTTTGCCAAACAGTATGTGTTTTCCAGGGTCCCAACTGATAACATGTGAGGCAAATTCTCATCATCCTGATTGCCAAGGAACATTCTGGCTGCATTTCTTCCAAGAGAGATTTGTTTTTCTTTAGGCAGTACATGGTACTTTCAGTATTCTTCACCAACACTGTCATTCTGATGTATCATTTATTCTCCAGAGCTTGTCATGATCCACACAGTGGAATGCCTTTGCATACTCAAGTTTCTCCTTCCAAATTTTGAATCTTCCTCTCATCTGGATCCTCCCTATCAGCATTTAAACATCTTCCACCTTAAAAATCCCTCTTGACACTAATTTACCCTTGGTAAATTGGGTTACCATCACAACAGAAAGTCACTTGACGGCACCTAACAACAACAATCATCATTCCATCTCCATTTCTTCACCTCCATCTTACTTCTCAATCACTGATGTTGGCCTTTCTGTCCATCGCTTGACCAAAGTGCTTAGGCCCCATTCTCCGGTGACCTCTAGGCCACAAAACCTAATGGTTAGGTACATTTTAGTCCTTTTTTTTTTGGTTGCTCATATTGTGGCTTGAAACACTGTGAACCATTTTTTTTTTTTTAAGGTTTTTATTGTGGATTGAGTGAAAGTTTACAGGGCACATCATCAGTTTCACATTCAACCATTCATATGACTTGTTTCATTACATTGATTATAATCCCCTCCATGAACCATTCCTTTCTTGAAACACTTTCTTCCCTTGGGTAGGATGACACCTGATTTTCCTGGATGTCCTCTATCTTGTCGGATGCTGTTTTTTTTTTTTTTTTTTTTGAGTCCACATTAAATGCTTAAACTTAATGTTTATGCTCGCTGCTCTTCTTCTTACAAATATTCTCCCTGAGTTGTTTCATCCAGCCCTTAGCTTCAATGACCAGATGCATGCCAACAGGACCAAGGAACACCTAATTCGTGGGGCCCAGGGCAAAATGAAAATGTGGTGTCTCATGTTCATAATTTCAAGATAGGTGTGGGGTGTTTCAGAGCACAGGGCCATGTGTGGACTGCATAGGGTGACTGCCCAGGAGGTCAGCCTTGCCTTCCTCCTCTGTCTCCTGAGGTTCAGAACTACATCTCTGCCCCTCTGTCCACATGCCCCAAGCTTCATTCCTTGTCTTTCCCCTCAAATGTGTTTCTTCTTCACCCAGGTAAAGGACAACTCTGTTGAAGCCAGGAAGCTGAGAGACACACTTCCTGTTTCCTCTCAGGCTCTTTCTAATCCTATCAAGGCCCATCAAGTCCACCTGTGAATCTTTCCAGCCCTGTCTGCAATCCCGCCATGTCTGCTGCCCTACCACCACTGTAGTTGGCTGACCCTGGACATCTGCTGCTCTGAGTTACCTTCTTGCTGGCTCTTTCTCCTTCCCAATCTGTATAGGTTGTTGCTAAGTGCTGTAGAGTAGGTTCCGACATGTAGGGACCCTGTATGTGTTTTGTTTTATTTTCCTTTTAGTATGTGTTTTTTTTTTTTTCCTTTTAGCAAGTGTGTTTTTTTTGTTTTGTTTTGTCTTACTGGTTTTTATTGTGGATTGAGTGAAAGTTTACAGGGCAGATCATCAGTTTTACTAAATTCAACAGATCATTGTCTATGGTTTTTGAGGAGCAGATGGTAGGTTTGAACTGTCGACTTCATGATTTGTAGTCTAGTACTTATTCTATAGTACCACATCAATCTAGTCTCCACTTTTTCATCCAGAATAAGTTTTAAAAACTGGAAGGTAGATCACCTGGCTCCCTGCTTACAATTCTCCAAAGGCTTCTCATGACTTCTAGGGGGGCCCTTGATGGTCTGCCCGCCTCCCTCCTGGGCCTCATCTTTTACTCTCATGCTCTCTCTCTCTCTCTGTGTCTCACATGCGCTGGGCTCTCTTGCCTCAGAACCTGCCTCCACACAGTTATTTCCTTTGCCTGGAAACTCTCCCCTTGTCTCAGTCACTGGACTCATCCTTCATAGTCCTGTTCCGGAGTAGCCCTTCCTTCTTCCAGACTGGTGAGTGCCCCCCTTATAGGCTCTTCCAGCAGGATCCCGTTCACTCACCTATTGGTTCGTGCTCTGCTCTACCCCCAGCACCTGATCCAGTTCAGACACAGGATGGGTGCTTCATAAAGACTGCTGCCTGGGTGAAGGACTTACTTGTTGAAGTGCTCTAGGAAGATGAGGCTGGTGGAGGTGCCGATGATGGTGGTCAGGCCCCCGATGGTCGCGGCATAGGAGATGCTCAGGGACAAGCATTTGCAGATCATCTGGTCATGCTGAGATGGGTACTTTCTGCTTAGCTCCTGCTTCCTGGGGCTGGGGGTCAGGACCAGGGGCTTTTCCTACCAAGGAAAATCCAACACATTTCTGTAACCCAGCCTGACCGCCTGGCAGAGCAAACCTGAGGAGCAGAAGGCACCACTGGCCAATGCTACCCAACAACAAATCCCAATATCGGGTTTATCATTTACCAATGGGGCCGTACCTTTAAGCCTCAGTTTCTTCTTCTGGAAAATGGAGAAAATAATATTTCCTTTGCTGAATTGTTGTGAATAATGAAGAAACAAATGAAGTAACAATAGTCAAAAGGTGGGAACAACCCACGTGTCCATCAACAGATGAATGTTGTTGTTGTTGTTAGGGGCCATCGAGTTGGTACTGACTCGTAGCGACCCTATGCACAGCAGAACAAAACACTGCCGGACCCTGGGCCAACCTCACTACTGTTGGCTACACAAAATGTGGTGCATCAGTGCATCGGAATATTATTCAGCCAAGCAGAGAAACGGGGCTCAGAGTCACGCTAATGTGGCTGAATATTGAAAACGCATGCTAAGTGACATGAGCCAAACACAAAAGGACTAACATGGTGTGATCCTACTTACATGAAACATCTGGGACACGCAAATCATTGAAACCAAAGAAGATTAGTGGCTACTAGGGGATGAAGTTGCCAGAGTCTTCATCCACGATCAACACTCATGGAAGCAGCCGTCAAGAAAGCAAATGACATATTCCATTAGGCAAATCTACTACCAAGGCTTCTTTTCAAGCGTTAAAAAGCCAAGAAGTCTGTTTGAGGACTAAGGTGCACCTGACCCAAGCCATGGTCGTCTCAATAGCCTCATATACGTGTGAAAGTTGGACAACGAATAATGAAGACTGCAGAAGAATCGATGCATATGAATTATGGCATGGTATCCGCGAAGGAGTTCTGGTAGCGTAGTGGTTACAAATCGGGCTGTGAACCTTAAGGTCAGCGGTTCGAACTACCAGCCGCTCCGCGGGAGAAAGATGAGGCTTTCTATTCCCGTAAAGATTTACACCCTCGGAAACCCCGTACAGGGTCGCTATGGGTTGGAACTGACTCGACGGCACTTAACAACAACAACAACATCGGCGAAGAAAGGAGTCCTGGTGTGGCACCGCAGGACTGCAAGGTTGGTTTGCACTGCAAGATTGGAGGTTGAAACCCACCAGGCACTCCTTGGAAACCCTGTACAGGGTCACTGTGAATAGAAACTTACTTGACAGCCGTTAACAACAACAATTGGTGAAGAATACTGAAAGTACCACGGACTGCCAAACGAACAGACAAATTTGTCTTAGAAGAAGTGCAGCCAGAATGTTCCTGGGAAGCAAAGATGGCAAGACTTTATTTCATACACTTTGAACATGTTGTCAGCAGGGACCAGTTCCTGGAAAAGGACATCATGCTTGGCTAAATAGGTTAACGAGAAAGAAGACCTCCAACGAGACAGACCGGCACAGTGACTACTAAAATGGATTCCAACATGACGCTTTTGAGGATGGTGAAGGACTGGGCAGTGTTTTGTTCTGTTGTGCGTAGAATCGCTGAGTTGGAACTGACTCGATGGCACCTAACAATAACAGAGAACGAGGTAGGAGGGGGATGGGGATTACAAAACAAAAAGAATACATGAACTAATATATGTAAGCACTTAGAACCTCCCCCACACATCATGAATGAATTGTTGTTGTTAGGTGCCATCACATCCGGACTGACTCATAGAGGCCCTCTGCACAACATAATGCAACACTGCCCGGTCCTGCGCCAACCTCACAATCATTGCAGTGTTTGAGCCCACTGTGTCAATCCATCTCGTTGGGGGTCTTCCTCTTTTTCTCCAATCCTACACAGTTATTTCCTTTGCCTGGAAACTCTCCCCT